CAAAAAGTCGCGACCTCTCGTTCGCGCGCCAACCGCTCCCGCCTTCCTCTGTTGTGAAGCGTAGCATTCCTTCGCTCCCTCCTGATCGTGAAAAAAGGCTTCGGACGACTCTCCTTCAGTTTTAGAAGTCACGGTTTTCTTTTTCGGGCTTCCTCGGGATATAAGGAAGTAAAGTGCGAGCAGTAGTTCCTTGCGGTGAAGGAAGAAGAAAGAAGAAGATTGTTCTCCCTTGGCTTCTTCTGGGTGGCTTGTGGTAGAAGAGAAATTGAGTTTATTTATTTTGTAAGTTTATCTTCTTTGGTGTATCTCGGTATATAGTTTCTTCGGTGTAGAAAGAGAAGAAAAGAGAGAGAAGAAGAGAGCAACGAAGTGAGAGATTCCTCTTGTAAGTCGAGACAATCGACTGATTTATATATCATATCTCACAACACACTTCTTAGCTCACACTGAGTCTAGATACAACACGCCGTGTTTTTGTTTTATGGTGTGAATTTTTCTCGTTCTATTTTTCGCTTCAAAGATCGTTCTCCTGTTTTATTTTTATATGTATACCACAACAACTGGTGTATATCTTATTTCAGAGCTTTATTCGGATCTGAGGAAAATTGATGGCTGCAGATGAAGTGAAGGTTTCAGGGATCGAGAAATTTGATGACACAGATTTTGGTTATTGGAGGATGCAGATAGAGGATTATTTCTATGGGAAGAAACTTCATCTTTTGTTATTGGGTAAAATACCTGAAAGGATGAATGAGATTGAATGGAATTTGTTGGATCGACAAGCTCTGTGGGTTATTCGCTTGACCCTATCGTTGTTCGTTCCACACAACGTCGTCAAGAAGAAGACGACTGTAGATCTCATGACAGCCTTATCAAGTATGTATGAAAAGCCATCAACGAATAACAAGGTGTACTTGATGAAGAAGTTATTCAACTTGAAGATGGCGGAAGATGTTTCTGTTGCTCAACACCTGAATAATTTCAATACTATCACGAATCAATTGTCGTCTGTTGAAATTGATTTTGATGATCAGATACGTGCTCTGAGATAGTTGGCATCGTTGTCAAATAGTTGGGAAGTCATGAAGATGACAATTAGCAGTTCTGCAAGTAAATCTAAACTAAATGTGATGATATTCATGATTTGATTTTGGCTGAGGAGGTTCGCAGGAAAGATTCTGGCGAGATCTCAGGTACGAGTTCGACACTGAATGTTGATTTCAGAGGGAGATGACATGACAGGAACTCAAATAAAGAGATATCAAAATTAAAGTCTGGTCAGCAGACAACCTGCTGAAATTGTAGCAAGGTTGTCCACATAAAGAAGAACTGCAAGAATCCCAAGAAGATGGAGAATGATAACACAAATGTGGTATCTGAATAAATACAGGATGCACTATTGCTGACAGTTCATAGTTCTGTTGCTGATGGAAGTGAAGAGAATAGTGGATCTGGGGCACCCATTCCTATTGTTCCACAGACAGAATATGGACAACCACAAAACTATAAAGAAATCTTGCAAGATGAAAGTTTGAGCAAGTGAGAGCTGACAGAACTTCTATCAGTGAAGAAGACATTACACAACAAGTGGGTGTACCAGGTGAAGACTGAGCATGATGGCAGTACGAGGTACAAGACTAGACTTGTTGAAAAAAACTTCCAACAACGGCAGTATATAGCCCATGCAGCAGGAGTTGTCAGCAGAGACAAGATTAATCTTGGAAATAGCTTGGAGGTGCAAGACTTATTGGACCCTGCTGATATGTTAAATGAGGGTGTTACTCTTAAAAAACTGAAGTTGTGCGCGGCTTCAGTTAGTCTTATTGAGTGAAGACGGAGGCTTTGAGTTGCAGAGGTGGAGGATTTATGGTGAAAGATTCATGATGGAGGATTCATGTTTTAAGAAAAGGGCGACACCGCCAGTAGAGGATATCAGTTTGAGAAAAGAGATGTTGTAGCTTGTGTATTGGTCTCCAAGTGAGAGATTGTTAGCGATGGAGCCCGATCTAGTTCTGCCTCCCGTTTCACGAAACAGCGCCAACTCCCGCTCCAGCTC